GAGCCGGCGGGGCGGGCCGCGCCTGGCAAGGGCACCGGGCTCTTCCGAAGAAGAAAACTTGTGTTGTGATGTCTGGTCTCTGAGCCGTCCTCGGAAGGACGCAGTGACTCTTCTCCGGGCTTTTGCATCGGTCAGGCATAAGAAAAGATGACCTTGGCTTTCCAAGTCACGTACGGCAGATGTTTAGGGGGGTTATTTCCTTAGGTTTTTTAGCTATTGCAGTCAATCCAGTTACAGGCATGCTTACCTGATTATACACCAGAGATACATTACTGGATTGGGTTGATATAAGAGCTGTGTTAACAAACATAGCACCTGCTATAGCAGTTTCTCGTGTCCCTCTTCTGGGGCACTGGTGGCTACAGCATCTGCCTCATTTGGTAGGTAACTGTATGGCATGTGTGCTTCTTTTGAGGTGAGTTACAAGATAAATGTTTGTCCTAAGCATAAACCCCCCTTAAACATTAGAGAAAAATATATCTCTAAAGATTAAAAAGAAAGTCCCTTTTATTATGAGGGTGATCAAACACTGGAACGGGTTGCCCAGAGCAGTTGTGGAGACTCCGTCTCTGAAGATACTAAAAACCTGACGGGGCATGTTCCTAAGTGACCTGCTGTAGCTCCCCCTGCTTTGAGCAGGTTGGGGTCGGACTATGCGATCTCCAGAGGTGCCAACCTGAACCATTCAGTGAACCTGTAGGCAAGCCAGGCTTTTGTGTTAATGAACTTCTTACAGTAGTCCTGAAACTTTGGTCCAGACGCAGACGAAATATAAAAGTGTGCCCTCGTGTACTTAATGTTTTTGTTGTTCCTGTGAAAGTTTCTGAGGCTTTGTAGCTGGCTCAAGTAACTTACTGATCTAGCTGAAAACTAACTGGGAAAAAAAAGTATATTTTTTTATCTAGATCTGTGAATACTAGGGTGGGCAAGTAAGACGCAATAGAAATGTGCAACTGAGAGCAGGGCAGTTCTTATTAACAAAACTTGCACTCTAATATGGTGGAAAAATTGTAAAGTGGCATTTTGAATCACAAAACAGAGCAGTGGTCTAGTCTGAATCTTGTCAACAAGTTTTGGGGTATGTAATTGAAGCTGTTTCTTAGCTGAACTAGTGAAGACTTATCTTAATTAAGTATTGCAGATTCCTGAACAATTGGTAGAAATTTGCCTGTGTTGAATGGTTGCGTAGGCAGGACTGGCAGGTCTCTTCTTTATAAGTGCTTTCAGGAATTTTCCCTTCTGCCATCGTCATCATATTGACTTTTTTTTCCCCCCATGTTTAAATTCGGTTGAATGAATGCTGAAAATCATAAATGTTCTTCCCTTCAGAACCCATCATTTCCTTGTCTGCTCTTGTGTCACCTGTTTTGTACCTTAAGATACAGTGCTCTGAATGTGCCTGCTCCTTATGTATGTCCACTGTCTGTTGAATGTCCTGAAAGCAGATTTAATAGCTGACAATGGAAGTATTAAGTTCAGTGTAGACATGAGTTTAATTTTTTTATTGATCCTGTCCAACTGACTGTAAAACTTGTTAATTGTCCTGTATTGCTTGTTAGAGGACAAGCAACCATGGCTGGCCATGACTCGGGATCTCAACACCAGTTCACTGGATTTCAGAAGTACTTCAATTCCTATACCATCACAGGCAGGAGGAATGTATGTATTATGTATATTAACTTTTATAGTCTAGTATAATGGTGTTTTCTGGGTTTTAGAATGAAACTAAACTTAACTTTTATGTTTTCCAGTATGTAATAGCAACATACACAGGCGTTGCAATGCTCATCTTGTATTTCAAGCTTAGACCTAAAAAGAAAACTCCTGCTGTGGCAGATAAGTAAATGGTAAGTGGCTGGGGTTCTTCCAGGACCAGAATGATTCAATGCCAGCCCAGGAAGAAAGAGTGACAAAGGACAAGTTGCTAATAATGCCATATAATTAGAGAGAGAGAGAAATACAGGCATGTGAATTTTGTATTTATCATTTTAAACCTCAACTAAACTATAGCATCAGCTTATTTGGGGGCATTCTCAATGAAGTAGGTTGTTAATGGGGGATGCAGAAAGTATGGGATACCAGTATTCTTTTTGTTCTTCTGACATGGTAAATGGGATTAGGGACATCATGGAGGGACAAAGAGTAAGAGAGGAAGGAGGAATGGACGGATGTTGCAGCTAGGTATATCAGGCTTTGCCTACAACTGTTAGGTGCCTCTGGTCTGCCCTTTTGCTGTAAAATAGGGTTAACTGTTGCTTTGTAGGTTACTGAAATAATAAAGTAGTACTTGAGGACTTATTTCTTAGTTGTATTAGAGAATTCCAAGCAGAAATTAATGCAGTCTGTTAAAACCTTCTTTGAACAGAGAAAAGGAGCACCGTACAATGGAACTGTATATATTGTACACCTGTGTCGTGGTTTAATCTCAGTCGGCAACTAAGCACCACGCAGCCGCTCGCTCACTCCCCCCAACCCGATGGGATGGGGGAGAGAATTGGAAGAGCACAAGTGAGAAAACTCGTGGGTTGAGATAAAAACAGTTTAATAATTGAAATAAAATGATAATAATAATAATATAATAATAATACACAAAGCAAGTGATGCACAGTACAATTGCTCACCACCCGCCGACCGATGCCCAGCCACTCCCCGAGCAGCGGCCCCCCCAGCCAGCTTTCCCCAGTTTATGTACTGAGCATGACGTCCCATGGTATGGAATGTCCCTTTGGCCAGTTTGGCTGTGCCCCCTCCCAGCTTCTTGCGCACCTCCAGCCTTCTCAGTTGGTAGAGCATGGAAAACTAAAAAGTCCTTGGCTAGTGTAAGCATTACCTAGCAACAGCTAAAACATCGGTGTGTTATCAATCAACTTTGTTCTCATCCTAAATCCAAAACACTGTACCAGCTACTAGAAAGGAAATTAACTCTATCCCTGCCGAAACCAGGACAACCTGATTATGCAAGACCCATATAGAAGTGATTGGACTTGTTCTTGTATAGCAACAACCAAGTGTTACAAAATTCTAGAGTCACTTTCAAATACAAAATTCCCACTGAAATGGCATTTTGAAAAAAATCTATGGGCTGTCTTCATAGTCTGCAAAAATGGGTAGAAAACAATAAGCTTGAGCATCGTTGTTGTATGTTAAAGGGACATCAGCCATTTCTTCCTGGGTGTGCTGAAATTTGCCTGCTCGTAATTAAAATTGTTTGGGCTTGGGGAAGGGGGATGCTCAGGTACTAGTACCACTGTGCAAGACTTGCTATGTTTGATCTCTTCTCTTGGCAGGTTGCTGGCAAGCCTGAACCTCCAGTCTGTGTCAACGTAATGCAAGCTGATGATCTGTTGTGGCTAATAAAATACAAATAATTACTTGTTTTATTGGAAATATGAAATGATGCAAAAAAGCATAAATGTGGCACTTTGCTGGTTTTTTTTCCCTCTGTCAAAAAGTTATTTGTAGTGGAGATGGAGTAGCTGATTCCTGTCATTACTATCTTAACTAAACTCTTCTGCTGTTATAACACATCCTAAAGTGTTCTGAGCACCTGGTAATAACCTAGGAAACACCTCAGCAGCATGACCATAATATGGGCACGGAGCTTACAGCTGATCAAAGCTTCTCCACGCTTCCATGTCATAGTGGATAACAGTATGCTTACATGGTTTGCAGTTACCTAGTTGCTCCCATTTTTTGCATTCCAGGCTAGTAGCTTACATGGAAACAGTGACTTCTTCACTATTAATACAATGCAGATTACAACTTCTGCCTCAGTTGTCTGTATCTTGCATAGAACCTGTTTGGTTTTGATGGAAAACCTCCCAAAGTAGACTGATCAAATTATGGTATTTGAGCTTTTTCTGTTACTGGCCTCTCTTGCAGAGGTAACTGCCAGAAAGAAAATGGCTTGCTTTGCTGATGTTAAGCTCTTACAAGTCTGCATGTTCATGAATAGTGACTTAAGTAGTTCAGCGCTTATTTTTCTTGGATGTAGCCTCTTAATAAATAAGGTGTTCCTACCAGTTAGGTATATTCAGCCCCCTACCTGCCCAACACTAAAACTTGTCTATCATGTTCTCCACGGTGTCTTTCTATATCTCAATTAACACTCAGTACCTTCCTTAGATGTCACATTAGTGCTGATGTGTGAATGTAATTATATGGCACCCTGCTTCTTGGAAGGGTGCCAGCAGCAGGCGTTGAACCTGGGACTTCTGATGCTAAAGCATGTAAATACACTTCCCAAACAGAGGGCAGCAGGAGGTAGGCAGGGTTGCTGGAAAAAAAAAAGGAGGGATAAATTACAGGGTCTTTGTGCTTTCCCACTCTAGTTGATGTATCTTAAAGCCATTTGTACATGCTGGGCCTTGTGAATAAATCTAGTCATCTTCCTCTACTATGAGTTTGTTTGCATAAATGGCCTCTGCTGTATACAACCTTCCAGACGAGTAATGGTTGTAACAGTGTAATAGATCTAATAAGCTGGAACCCATCACTCACTCACCTTTAGAACGAGCTTTACATGAGATGGCTAGTCATCAACTTACCATTTCCGAATTACTTTCTCTCTCTTAGCAGAGTGCTCACCCTTACAAGCACTGCTCTTGCTTCCATTGCAGCCATCACGGGAAGAAAATACTTTCTTGTAACATATAGACACAAACTATGCGGTTTCAGTATTTATTATAATATCAAAAGTATAAAACTGTACAAAATACAAAGGCAGAATGTGGCAGTGTTTTCTTTAAGCTGTCAAACTGTACATGCTTTGTTTTAGGTAACTTGTTTGAGTCACCATAACTGTACTTAAATCCAACTGGTCATATTGAGAGCTAGGAAATTTTGTTGAGGCACCATTACACAAAAAAAATCCAAAATAATTTAGTTTTAACCTTTTTTCTTTAAAGAAAATTTCCAGGTGAGCTTCCTAATGAATTTTCCACTCTTTATTTTGATGTATAATGCCTGTAATATACCTTTACTCGAAGAGTAAGAGTCAGAGAAAGGATGAGAGGGGAGGTAGCTCTCCATTTACTTTACCTTCGAAATGTCAAGTCTTGTTTTTATTCTCACTAGAGAGCCAGCAGATTGTTCAAGTGTCCAAGCCCTTACTGGAAGTAATGAGGAACGCAAAACAGATTTCCCTGTATATCACTTGTAAGAAAGTTAAAAAACAAAACAGCCACACAACAAAAACGTACAACAAAAAACAAAACAAAAACAAACCAACCACCAAACTGGGCCTGTCCTTTGGTGGTGGTGTTTTCTTTTCAAAGACCTAGAAAGAAGTTACATCTCCCAGCATTTTGCATGTTTTACTCTTCCTTAGAAATAAAGCACAGCTTTATTGGTTGCCAGGAGGACATACTGGGGTGCAATGTTTCCATGGGTGGAAATTGTCACTTCAGCCGACAAGCTGGCCTTTCAAAAGCAAACTGACACTTAGGACTGATCAATCCTTGTACTCTGCAATAATGTTTCAATGTCTTGGCTAGTTTTACAGTTTGATATATTAAACCTTATGCAGAAAGGACACAAGTTTGTGAAGTTCTTCTAGATCTAATACAATGTAAAAGGGTTTAAGTCCACTTTTTTAAATAATGGGCATTTCAATTGTCCCTCAGTCCGTCCCCCCCTTTTTTTTTCCTCCATACAATAAAGTATGAAAGTAAACAGAGTTCACATTGCACTTCTAGTTGCTTATCACACTTACAGCATTGGCTACCTGTGAAAACAGAATAACAAGATCTGCGTTTCCGATACCTCAGAAGAGCACGGGAGTTTGAAATCTTTTCAGGACTTAGCATTTGGATGCATAAAACCCACACATGTAACTTCGCGGCAGATCCCCACAAGCCTCTGCCTGTAGGACCTACTCTTTCAATGCCCTGTTTGTTGCTGTGATACTCTCACCATTCCTGTTGCCCAGCCTATAGTGAATTAAACTACATTCTTCTCCGAAACAGAAGTTTTTGCTTGTGCTTGAGACTGATTAAACATTTGCTAACCATAAATTAAGTGCTTTAAAAAAATCATTTGAGAACACATACCAAGGCTGTCAACTTTCCACAAGTTTCAGCAGAGCTCAATACCATCTCTGAGAGGAGACAGCCATTTTCATATACACATATATATATTTTTTTTTTTATCAAAAGCACCATGAACAATTCCTTCTTTTACAGCCACGATGTCTTGTCAATCTCCAGCATTTTCAAACTGTGGATAAATATGAAATAGCAGAACTGAGAAACGCTGCTTGCATTAGTTTACGTAGTTTCGTTTTTCCTGCAACAGACTAGTGGGATCCACCTGTACAAGACATTCCTCCTCGTCTTGCATCCTGAGGTCACTACTGCATGACTTGGCACAGTCAGTCTTACAGCTTCCCGATTTACTGTGAACTGTAGGCTCCCGCAGCCAGCAGCAAGTTTCTGCGTGTAAAATGGAGGTGTACAACCGGGGTTGATTTGGTCATGTATGTACCTAGTAACAAGTCCTGTGAGTTTTCAGGCAAGTTTATATGTCCAGTGGCTGTAGTAAAGTCATCGGTTTCTAAATCTTCAAATGCCTTCACAGCATCCCACAGACGAACTGTGTTATCCATTGAACCTAAAAAGAAAAAAGAACAACAGTTTGAAGTCTTTTATTAAGAAAAAAGGTGTATAAAAAAAGTTACTGTGGAGCAAGTTAACAGAAATTGAAGTTCAAAAAAGCATGTTTGCTCATAACTGTAGACTTATGCCCTCATCCTGCAAGGAAACAGACTTTAACAAGCTTCTAATATACTGAATGCACGCATAAAAGCTACCAGGATTTCAGCTTTCCTGTAATCTAACCTGAATGCCCTGTGGATAAAGCACAAAGAACTACTCTCTCAAAACATTTGGGTTTGGATTATATCACCTAGCACTGAAAAAGCAGGACCATCCTGTGGGCTAGATGCCAATTTCAGGAAGTGTTTATGATTCTAAGTCACATAATAACAGTTTCTTTGTTTGATACAGGGAAGACAGCAGAATTTTGCAGGCCCAGTGGCCTGTGCTTTCACTGGCACGTTGGTAGATAAATTGAAGTAACCACCCTGCAGGCTGGATCAAACCTGTACCCTGTCTGTTAGCTTTTGCTCCTGTAGTAGTGGCTCACCGAGGATTCTCACTGCACTGCATTTAGGAACATACTACTAAATAAATCTAGACTATTCCTAGCCTGGTTTCATGAAGAAATTACCCTGATGTAATTACAGCGTCTGTCCATCATTTCTTCTGTCAGTAACTTGAACTTGTTGGCTCATTTCAACCAGTTGACAGAACAGAACAAGTTTCAAATTCATTAAATTCCTATACATTTTAAGAAAACAGTTCACTAAACATGAAGAGACAAAACTTTGAGCCTCCATGGAGGTAAAACTGGCAAAGGAGCTCTGCTGTATCAGGCACCAGAGAATCTATGTGGACAGGCAGGAAAAACAAGCAGGCTTCACAAGTTCTGCTGCTCATAGACCTAATTGTTAATATTACATACACATTTCTGTATCAAAAATCTACCATGAAGAAATAGTAAGGGTGTGGATAACTCATCTTCCTTTCTATCCTTTCCTCTCCTTTTTAGTCCTGCCGCATGTCCCACTCTCATTCCAGTATCCTGCGCTTCTCCAGTCCAGCCACTTCTTGTCTGCCCTAGAGTTATTTCTAACTTCAGATTCCACCAACACTACACAGATCCCAACCTTCACTATTGTCTAACTGCATAACACCCTTCCTTCAGTTCCTGGAAGAGTGAGGGGTCATACTTCACAGTCCAGTGAAGTACTTGCCTTGTACCAGCATTTTTAAGTTGCTGCTTTTGCTAAGCAAGTGATTCTACTTTGTCTTCCTCAATTTAAGGAACCAATTATATAATTTCTCTTCAGACTCATGGAAGACAATGGAAACTTCACTGTTTCCAGTGAATTTTACCTGATGCTAAAATCTCCCCATCTCTACTGAATCTGAGTGCGTAGATAGTGTCAGTGTGCCCTTTCAATTCTCCAACCATCAAGCCATGTCCAATATCCCACAGCAGAACTCTTCCATCTGTTGCTCCAGTAGCCAGGAATCGTCCATTAGGAGAAAACGCCAATGAATGAATTGGTCCCTAAAACAGACATTTGGGGGGGACCAAACAAGTTACTGTAAGTCTACTCACATTCAGTCAGTCAAGCTGTATTTGTTCTGAACGCTACTCTTCAGAATCTCATCACAGAAATAAAGTCACTTTCACATTGTGAGTGATAGGCCCTTACCTTATGTCCAGTGAATATTCTTACGCAATTCCCATTCAGAACATCCCAGAGCCGTATAGTCCTGTCTGCTGAGCCCGTGGCAATATAGTTGGAGTTTGGATGAAATCGGGTACACGTCACATCAGCAAGATGGCCA